CCCCCCTTTTAAAAAAAAATTCCAATCCCCCCGTCCCGTTGGTTTAATTTTGGACCACTTGTCCACCCCATTTCCCCTTTTATTCCTTCCCCATCCCTTTTTTAATTCGATACCTTAGATAACGTGCATTCACGTTCTACACTCTCTGTGGGGGCAACATAGGGTCTCTTTTACGTCATGCGGGAAAGATGAGTTCAGGGATTTTAAAAAGGAAGACTTCAAAAAGACTTATACTCAAAAAAAGGGAGGGGGAAAGGGGTGATGCACGCCTTTTAAAAGACAAACCCTAATACCTCCCCCCTCCCCCTTTTTTCGTCAAACAAAAGAGCAGTATACAAGATCTCACCTCTGGTTCCAAAAGGGCATTTACATTTGTATCGTCCAGGGCTGTTCTCACAAGTCCCGCCATTCTTGCACACGACACCACGACACTCGTCAGTGTCACTCTGACAAGCGGGTCCTTCCCAGCCTGAAGGGAAACTTAAAGTAGTAACTGTTACGTAGTCTAAACAGCAGGGGGGGGGGGGCAATATCTCTTCAATATCACGAGGTATAGCGCAGACAGGTGCTAACTTTTATGTTAAAACCTTACTACAAGGCCCCTTTTGTAAGTCAGTTTAAATAATAATGTAAAGAAACACATTGGGACGATAATGGCCAGTTACAGATGTGATAAAGCGGTAAAAAGCCTTACGTTTACATTAATTTATCCTCCTCTTATACCCTTTTCGATGTCGCGCTTAGAAAGAGGCGTCTTTCTGCTGCTTGCTGGAAGGATTGGGTTAAAGTCAAGGAGATGCTGGGAGACACGTCAGTGTTTTCCTGACTCTATCGATCCAGGTCTTTCTTGATCGCCTATTACCTTTGTTGCCAATAAATGCTGTGTTATAAACATGCTGTGCTGGGTGGTATGTGGGTAGTCGTGTAAGATGCCCGAACCACAGACTTGATTCTTTGGCACGGGATGAGATACATGACGTCATTTGTGTCCACCCTTTCTCTTATCTCTGTAGGATTTTTATTTATTTTGTCGCTCTTGATCTTTTTCTGCTTTTTCCTGAAACATCGCGTTTTACAGAGAGCAGCTTAATTCAAATGCAACAGGTCTTCCTCAGAAACAGGGAAAACTGTGTAAATGCCATATAAGTAAGTCTGCTTCTAAATAATCAATAGGAGCAATCTATGCCCGAGATTATATCTCGCTGTTTTATCTAATAAGCCTTAGGCCTTAGGACACTGTTTATAACCGTGTGTATTTTATTCATGCTTTAAAACGCGGATTGCTTTCGGTTACTGGTTATCCCTTCCACGACAACTCACTCTACAACGTCAACACTTCATCGTGTCTTGCAATGAAGGGTCTCGCTATCTACACTGCGAAGTGCGAAGTGTGTTCAACCTGAGCGTCGGTGTTAGAAATCCCAAAAAGGGTCTGCTGTAGAAGCATGGGTATTTTATTTGTAGGCTTGGGGTTTTTCTCTTTGCTTTCAGACTTGAATTATTATAGCTGCACAATATTTGCTCTAACTTTTTCAGCTTTCAGTAACATTGGTCTTTTTGTACTAATGCACGACAATTTGCAGGAAAACTTTCATTTTTGTCGTATGGCAGTCTTCCTGGACTTCAGTAAAGTGATGATAACACAATATGTATAACGCACAATATTATGCATATCTATCAAGGAAAACCGGAACTTTCAGTAAAACGAGTTGTTGCACTGAAAGATCGGATTGAAAACACTCGCTTGTGACCTTATCATGTAATTGCGGGTGTCAATTTTGAGTTTCAAGTTTTTCCGAATGCAACACTTTGAATATCTTAATCACGACTTCAAATAGTTTTACGATTTTGATACAGAAAACAGACCATTTTCATTCTGACATGGTCTTAATAACCAAAAACGGCCAAAAATGTTGGATAGAACTTTGTAATTCTGGGCCAGTAAATTTTCGAGAAGAAAAGAGGTCATCTCATACAGGTGATCCTCGTCTTGGACAGTAGCATTACAATATCGAATAAACGCAAGAGGAAAGCAAGAAGTGGTCTTTAGCAGGTTCGACAGTATATCGAATGCACAATGAAATCCTCCCTGCCCTTTTCTCTCAGTCCTCGCTCCGTTCTCAACCAGTGCTCAATGCGAGTGTACCTTTCTACCCTGACTTGTCCGGAATGCAATACCTATAAGCATAGACTTGTATTATAATATTGTGACACTGTACGCTCTGATGTAACTCTGGATCACTGTGGAGAGCATCATTCGACTCTATCTAGAAATAGAAACAAATGAATGAAAAAAGGAGGCCGGTGGGGGG